TTAATATTCTCCAGTTACATCCATGTTCTTGCAAAAGGTAAGAGTTCCATCTCTCTCTCCTTTTCTCTCTTTGTTTCTTTCTTAAATGCAGATTGATTTTACTTATTTTTTTAAACGTCAAAGTTAATTATAAAATATTAAAAAATTTAAAAGCATTATAAAGTCTCATCAATTAAAACATTACACCAGCACAGAAATAATCAAGTAGACCAATGAAATATAATGAGCATTCTAGAGACAACTGTATATATCTGTCTAACTATGTAATATATGATTAAGTTGATATTTCAAATCAATAGGTAAAATAAGGCTTATTCAACAAATAAGGTGCATGGACCACTATTACTTGCAATAAAACAAATAGAGAGCCCTATTTCTCACATTATACAAAAAATGTTCAGGTGAGTTGAAAATCAGTATGTAGAATCTAAGGAGTTTTAGGAGAAAATACAAACAATATTTTTCTTATGCTGAAGTAGAATATTCAAACCCAGAGCTATAAAGTAAAATATTAACAATATGACTATATTAAACATTTAAGACTATATAGTAATATACATACAAAAAAAGTTAAAGGACAAGTAAAAGAATGGGAAAGTATTTGCCATACATCTAAAAAAGGGTTAATAATTATTTCGTTTTTAGGGAAAAGAATTCTACAAACCTTTAATTGATAAATGGATAAAGAATACCAAAAAGTCATTTAAAGCTTTTTAAAAATAGAAATAGGCAAGAAATATACAAAAACAGGTTTAGTTTCAACAAATAATAAAAGGACAATCAAAATAACACATCATTGTCACAGTCACATTAATATGTATTAAAAAATATTGGTAATATCAAGTATTGGCAACTGTTAAAGGAACTGGAAATTCATAGACTCTTTTACTTCATCTTAAAGCAGTCTCTTTAGCATATTTTGCAGTGCTGGTTCAGTGGAGGTGTATTCTTTTAGCCTTTTTTTTGTCTGGGAAACTCCATATTTTGCCTTCCATTTAATTGAGAGCCTTGCTGGATAGGGCAGTCTTGATTGCAGGCCTTTGCTTTTCATGACTTGGAATATTTCTCGCCATTCCCTTCTGGCTTGCAGTGTTTCTGTTGAGAAGTCAGCTGCTAGCCATATTGGGGCTCCCTTCTATGTTACTACCTCTTGCTGCCTTTAGGATTCTTTGTCTTTGATATTTGCCATTTTAATGATGATGTGTCTTGGAGTGGGTCTCATTGGGTTCCTCTTGAATGAGATTCTCTGTGCTTCCTGGACTTGTATGACTTTTTCCTCTCCTCAAATTAGGGAAGTTTTCCATTAGTACTTTTTCAAACAGGTTCTCTATCCCTTGCTCCTCTTCTTCTCCTTCTGGTATCCTTATTATATGGATATTATTACATTTCAGGTTGTCCTGCATTACCCTGAATGCCTCTTCATTCTTTGTGAGTCTTTTTTCATTTTCTTGCTCTTTCTGAGAACTTTTTTCTACCTTGTCCCTCAGCTCACTGATTTGATCCTCTCCTTCATCTGGCCTACTTTTGATTCCTTCTACTGTGTTCTTCAATTCAGAAATTGTATTCTTCATTTCCTCTTGTCTCTTATTGATAGTTTCTATGTCCTTTTTCATGCTGATATAGTTTGCAGTAAGTTCCTTGTAGTTCCTCTGTAGTTTTCTGTAATTCTCTCTGAGCTCACTGAGCTCATTGAGCTTCCTTAGAACTGTTCTTTTGAACCCAATAGTTGATAGTTTACTTACCTCTATTTCATTTAGTTCTCTTTCTGGAAATTCCTCCTTTCCCTTCGAGTAGGGGTATTTCTTTGTCTTCCTATTATTTGTGAGACTCTTCTTTTTTGCTTCTGCATCTTAAGTTGATCTGTCTTGATTTCCTGACTTTGTGGTATGAACTTATATGGCAGGAGACCACTGTTTTTACTTTCTGGATCTGCTTCTGATGATGTCAGATGTCGTCCCTGTGTGACTTTAGGCAGTCTGTTAGAGACTTCCAGGAATCTACTGTCTGTGACTGTTTCCTTCAGCTGTTAATCTAGTCACTCTGCACTCAGCAGGCTGCCTTACACAGCTCAGGGAGGGGCGGAGTTCCTTGTAGGGGTGGGGTATTGGGTCCTCTCATGCTGTTGCTGTATGGGGGAGGAGTCAGCACTGGGATCTGGCCAGCTACTCTCTCTGTTCTCTCCCCAAAACCTCCACCTCCAGTCCCTCCTCAAGTGTCCCCAGACCACTCTGCATCTCCTTTAGCCAGGGATCTACTATCTGTGGCTGCCACTTTGCACTCAGCAGGCTGTAGACTGCACAAGGCGGGGTGGAATCCCACCTGGGAGTGGGGCTATTGGGTCCTCTCATGCTACCGCCTCTCAGGGGGAGTGGTCTCTGCCTGAGCAAGATGGTCGCTGCCACGTGGGGGATGAGTCGGCACTGAGATCCCACTGGCTACTCTCTCAGTTCTCTCCCCAAAGCCTCCTTCCCCAGTCTCTCCTCAGGCATCTCTAGCCCACTTTGCCCCTGCCTTTGCTGGAGACCAGGGTAAGTATAAATTTATGCATTGGCCCTTTAAATGGTTTTTTGCATCTCCAGCCACCTGTCTCTGGGAGAGAACAGCCCTGCCGCTTTTCACAGCTGGCTGTTTTCTCTTTACTCTTTGGGCTCTGGTGCTGTAGGCTAGAGATTCCCGCTTTTGGTTTAGACCCCACTCTTCTTGGGGGATCCAACTGGCCGGTTCAATATCCTTCTGGTGCTGCTGCCTGTGGGCACCCCACCTGCCTTCTCAGGTCTGTACCACACTCCTTACCAGTTAGATTGCACTAAATCTGATTCTTCTGTCGCCAAAGTTACAAGGCTCCTCTCTCGCTATTGTTCAGTTGTTTGTTCCAGGTGATTTCTCCACAATTTAGTTGTAATTCCAGGTTGGTCCTGGGGGAAGATCAGTGTGACTTCCACTCATTCCTCCACCATCTTGATTCTCTCTATTTTTGAAGCTTTGATCTGTTCTTTCATTTGGGCCATATTTCTTTGTCTCAGCACGCCTGTTACATCGGAAGGGGCAGAGCCTTAGGTATTCACCAGGGAGGTGCAACCCAGGTCACTGAGTTGTGATACTGTCTGTGGGGGCGGGGTCCAAGAGGGAACAATGCCACTTGCTCAGCTCTTGGCTGGCTTTCATTCACTTTCCCCGCTACCCACAAGCAGATTGGGCCCTTCTGGTGCTTATTCCTGAGTGGGGGGGTTTGTGTACATTCTAGGACCCTGTGGGTCTCTCCAATGGACTCTCCTGTGAGGCTAGGAGTTGCTCCTGCTGCTGCAACCCCCACAGGCTTTTACCTCCAGAGGTTTTGAGGCTTTCTTTTCCCATACTGGAACCCTGAATTATGTGGTCTGTCTCGCTCCCCAGCTGTTCCTCCTGGTTTATCTGCATGCAAATGTGGGACCACCCAGTCTGCCAGCCGCTGCCTCACCCACCTGGTCCTCCAGCTGCCATCTTGCCACACGTTCTCTCCGCCCCAGCTGCCTGTCTCCACCCTCCTAGGAGTCTGCATGAATGTTTCTTCTTTAATTTCTTGGTTGGCAGATTTATATACAGTTCGATTTTCTGGCGGTTCTTGTTATTTTGTGTTTTTAAATTTGCTGTTGTCCTACTTTTGGTTGTACAAGGAGACAAATGTATCTATGCCTCCATCTTGGCAGGAAGTCTCAAGTGTACACTTCTATAATACATGGTCTGTACATTGCACTGTGTGCTCACCACCCAAAGTCAAACCATCTTCTGTCACCATATATTAGGCCCACTCCACCCCATATCATTTCCCTACCCCCTTTTCTCTGGTAACCACCACACTGCTATCCATGTCCACAAGTTGCAGTTTTATATCCCACACATGAGTAAAATCATATGGTATTTAACTTTTTCTGAGTGACTTATTTCTCTTAGCATAATATTCTCAGGGTTTGCAATGGTTTAAACATCAAAAAAAAATGAACATATATGCACACTAAATATATTATCTTTCAGATTAACGATTCACAATTTATTCCTTGCTCATTGACTAGTCCCATTCTTCCAGATTCTTTCTAATAAGTTAATTATTTTTTCCTCCTCCCCTTTAAACTGAACACAAATTTCCAAATATGAAAGAATAAAAGAAGATTATAACATTGTATATGGTATTTTTTTAAAGCAATCCTACCAACATCTTATGTTTGAACTATGGACAATTATAATACACAGGGTCTTAACCACATAAACTGCAACCAATTCAAGCTTCCCACACTTCATTTGTGCAATTATTTTTAATATAAAAATGAGATTAAAGATTTCCATGTTTTCTTATCTTGTGTTTTTTATACCAAAAGTCCAATTTTGTTTTCAGTACTTATTTAGTAAACTATCATTTTGCTGTCCTTCTAAAAGTCTTGTCCTCCTACAACTCTGATAGGTGTATGTTTTAAGTGTCCATACAAGGCATTGATAAAATTAAATAGAATGAGCATATGAGCAAAATTTTCTAGTACACACACAGAAATCTTATTCCTGGGAGACTTTAATCAGCCTATGATTCTCTTCCTTATACACACAGCCATCGTCAGAAACCACCAAAAACTTCTAGCCAAACTCAAGACAACGTATGTTTGGAAACTCATTAATTCTATAAGAATACAAAAAGGTAAATCGATGTTGTTTTATGATAACTATTTTCTGTATTAAAATTCTAAAATGAGTATCAGTATGATATTTTCTAGAAATCTGTTAGGGATAGACATCAAACTAACAGTGTATGTTTTTCAGAATATAATTTTTATGACATGTTCAACAAATTTAATTAGCTAGCTGTTACTTTCTATATAGTCCTTTCTCTCCTGAAATCATATTTTTAACTGAAAGAAGAAAAACATATAAAAATATCCCTTGCTCCCATTCTAATTTTTCTATTCTTAACTATTTCCCAAAATGTTTCAGTAAAATAACTTATTTTTTCTGTTGTATTAATTTTATTTTATTACCTCATATAAAACTGTTGTGTTCCCATGAAGAAGAGGTCCATAACAGATATAGGAATGTCCAACAACCCAGCCTAAGTCAGAAGCTGCCCACCACACCTGAAAAATAAGAGGGTAATAAAATGCATATATCTTAATCAGAGAAATGTCAAATAAAGTGAATTTAAAACTACAATTACCTCTCCAGGTTTCAGTCCATATATAGAAGACATTGTCCAGTTTAGCATTACAGCATATCCCCCAGTGGGTCTAACCACGCCCTAAAGTAGAGAAAAAGTAAAGCTAAAATTAATAAACAATATATTAAAAGATTCTGTCTTCCTGCTATCTACCTAAAAAAGTTTCTGTTTAAAGCATTTTATATTTTATAAGCTACAAATTATTTTTACATAATTTTATCTGAGTTGTCATTTCTTTGGCTCCTCCAGTAATACACACAGACTAAGTTGTCCACATCAATCCACTTGCAGAATCCATTTTCACAGACTATTCTTGACCTTCTATAGAAAACATGATTTCACAGAATCACATGCAATTAAAATTTGTTCCATTGGTAACATAAAGTAACAACATTGCATTTTCAGACATATTTCCAGAACAAAAATGGAAACACAAAATTAAAAACACAGAAGTCTCAAAGGTAGCTGTGTGTCTAAAATACAGACTAACATAAGGTTGTCTATTCCTTAATATTATTAAATATTACTACGCTTAGAAGAAACAAAGTCATATTCTAACTCGAGCCTCATTACAATGCTGTGCTATGGATCATGTTAGCACAATCTGAGCCAAGCAATTCTTTAATGATGAATTACGGAACCCTGAGGAATCAGTCCTGATGCGTTGGATCTAAGGCTAATAGATTTGCCTTATGTTACATTTTAGGCAAAAGTAGGGGTTGTTGCCCTGGCCAGGAGGCTCAGTTAGTTGGAGCATTGTTATTACACCAAAATGTTGGGGGTTCAATTCCCAGTCAGGATACATATCTAGGTTGCAGATTCAATTCGATCTCCAGTCAGGGTGTGTATGGGAGGCAACAGATTGATGTTTCTCTCTCACACTGATATTTCGGTGTTTCTCTCTCTTCCTCTCTCTCTAAAATCAATAAACATATCCTTGGGTAAGGATTTTTTTTTTTTAAATAGGAATTGTTACATCATTCTACTACAGCTTCCATGAATCAGTTTCTAGCAGCTATAAACAACATTGAACATATTCAACTTTAATACAAGATTCATACTTGAAAACTGAGCAAAGAGTCATGATAAATAAGAACTCATGGTAAATGTAATAATTAACTTCATTTACTGCTTCATTATAAACATTAATCATCATTGGCTCAAAAAGGCTTGACATGAATACTTAAAGCAGGAAGGGGATTCTTGCTAAGAAATAGTCATTATTTCAGTTGTATTTTAAGCATTATTTTAATAGAAAAATTATAATTACTTTTTGCAGAAAATACTTATTCTACCTAAAAGGGCAAACACAGCCCTAGTGAATAAATGTGCTACTGCTAGTTCTACCTCTTTGACATAGCTCTGCAACTGTAAGATAGACAAATCAGTGGAATAAAAATGAACTTTCTGTTAGTTACTAAAATTTCTTCTCTCCTTGGGTACCTGTAATAAAACATAGGTATCAAGCTGTGGGACACATTTTATCTACCAGCAGCAACACCTGATCTCTTAGCAAATATCACACATAGCTTTGTTGGCATCTGACAGCTACATGGTGGGTTGTATGACATAGTTAGCATGCAGCTGGCCCTCTTGATCACTTTGGGAGTAGTAGGGGTGAGCTCACTGCCAGTAAGTTTCACACATGCATCTTTCCATGTGAACTGGACAGCTCTTTTCCTAGTATATTCTGTATTATCTTTCATGTACTTTGTGAATTCCTTTGTCCTGCTGAGAAGGTCTTTTCCTTTGATTTAATACCTTGATTAATATGCTATTAATCAACTTTCAGACACACTATTCTAAAAATTTTTATTCATTTGCTATCCATATATTATGATAGACAGCAATAATGTCAGTAACAATTTCACTCAAGATGTTTTAGAATTTTTCTCTCCACCGCCTGTCCCTGCATTTAGAGCTCATTTTTATCAATAATTCTAAATATTATTACTGGGCCAAATATTACATTATGTGGTAGAGAGTATAAGGTAAATTGACTGGAAGTGATAGAAAGGAATTAAAGGCTGTGGAGAACATAAATAAGTAGTAATTCATTTGTAAAACTTAGAAGATATTTTAAAGGATAGGTTACCAAATTTCTACTTATCTCTCAAGTGAAGAGGTAAATAGAGGTAATATATACTCAAATGAAGAGGCAATTGAGGTAAATATGCTCCTTTAAAGTATATTTACCAATCCTGTTCTGTCTGTAAAGTGGTAGATACTTAAATTCATTTGAGACCATGAATGGAAAAGCATTTAAAATTATAGAAGCTAAAATTTTATATCTTAATAACAAAATTATTTCCTTGGTTCTGGCAATTATTGATTTTTTTTTTATTTTTCCCTGTGTAATACTACTTAAAAGGCAGAAATGTAAAAGTAACTAAGGATATCATCAAAGATTCTCATTAAAAACAATTAAAATGGAGCTAAAGATGAGAAAAACTTCATAATACCATTTTCATCAGTCTTTGATATCTACTTATTTTTACTTTTTTTAAAGAATGAGTATAAAAATTTCTATAAAGCTTCATTTTACTATTCATTAATAGGCTCTAAATCTGAAATTTGGTGTATATATTCAGATGATAGTTATTAATTTTCTGAGTATTTGATATGGTGCAGAAAAAAGAACTGCATCATTTCACATTCTCCATGTAGATCTTTTACAAGAAGTTTGAAAGTCAAAAAAATTAATAAATTATGTTAAAAAGAGCTTCTGTATTATATTAATATTAATATGTGACTAAGAGTAAAGCATTTGTTTGTTTCTGGTTTATAATCCTATTTTCCTGGTAATGATAATTAAAATGCAAATGAGAAACCTTGTTCAGCCTCTGAAAACCCATAAATCATGCTTTAAAATATCATTATATTCTAAATATACCAAAATAACCAGAAACAAAAAATGGTATCTTAAAATATATTTACAACTTGAATATGAAGTAAAAATACTTATTCAATATCAATGCTTACCCTAAAACACAAGCATACTGCATTTAAATCTTTTGAATCTGTTATAACTTTTTTATATACTCACCCTATATTTACCTGAAAAGTAAACACATTAGATGACCTCATATATTCACAGAAAAGCCCTGTAACCTGTAACATACTGTGCTGGTTTTTGTGGAATCAGCCATTATACTTCAAGTCTTATGGAGAACTTGAAAGACATCCAGGTGGGAATAACACTCCATTCCACAAATAAAGGCATACATAAAAGTGAATTCTACCTCAGAAATGGGAAAAGAGACAATGTGAAAGTGCTCTTAACAAAAAAAAAAAAAAAAAAAAAGGCCAAAAAAGTCCCCTGTTAACATTTAATGGTGTTTTTAAAAATTTCAATTTGTACAAATAAAATTAAAGGCCGATCATTAATTACTCGGGAAGGGGACCACAGAGTCATCACACATGGCTCTTTATTATGTCCAGTTTAATGAGCTGCCTTTGAAGACAAGGAAAGCCATAAATGATCATAAATGGGGCTGTTACAGTGAAACAGAAAACAGGTCATTATCAAGTGTGATGTACAGTTTTGGTTGCTGCAACTTAACATAAATACCGTTAGAACAATATGAACAATATGGATTATAGCAAAAAAAGGAAGGAAGACTGACATGTGTGATAAGAAGAGCTTGGAATTCTTCATCCTAAAAATGTTTTTAATTTGATCTATAAAAATACGAAAGGCAAATCTTGCAATTCTAAGGTAAGAGAAGTTTGGAGCATGTGACAAAACGCTATGCTTCTTAAATTGAGCCCTCCTGTCATCCAACTCTGAGATGAAGGCTTATACAAGATAAATATACATATTTACATACATGAGATGTATATTTATTCACATATATGTAAATATGTTTGTCTCTGCATTTGTGTTTATAAGTGTTATTTACTTATGTATGTTTACATATTTATATGTTTCATATATAGGCATTTCAGGCTGACAAGTTGAGAAAAAGTAAAAGAAGAAAGAAAAAATAAATATTTTGCATAAAGAAAAAAGAATCCATCACTAAATGATGTTTGAAGTCAGTGAGAAGTCAGTAAGTCAGTTCTGATAACTTAGAAAGTCCAACACATAAACAATGTTCTAGTCTCACAATGGCCTGACAGATTGATTCCCTCTTCCTAGAATGAGTCCCCACCCCCACCCCTTTTCTGAACTCGGTTAGCTCCGATTTCATCACACAAGAACTTAACAACATTGTGAAAGTGCCATCTCTTTTGGACACTGTCCAGGATCCCATGGTAACTGATTCCATGCTCTCCCATGGCCCCCGGAACTGCCCGCCTCCTCCAAGCACTGACAGCCTCTTCTAGCGCTGGGGGCCGGGGGCGTCTCCACCACTTTGGTGCTGTGAGAACGCCTTCGTCTCTACTCTACGGCACTGTCAACTTTCGTTGACAGATTAAGTGAACAATTAACTGAATAAATACAAGTATGAAAAATATTCTTTTTAAAAATACACTTCTTTGTTCAGAAGAAACCTTGGAAACTTGTAGAATTTAGTGAATCACATTAGAAATGGAATGGTTCCATATAGGATATTTTAACAAACATAAAATCTCTTGCTTCAGGCTCTGAGGCTGCCTCTGCGGAAGACACTGTAGCAGTGGAAGACATTGTAGCAGCAGTGTACGTTCTTATTGATCTGAATGTCCGTGAGATAAGGGGCACAAGTGTAGCCAGTCCCTCATTTTAACTGCAAAAACTGTAATACAGATTTAAAAAATCATTGCTTTTTTATTTTGCTTTCTCTTTTTTTTTTCCCCCCCTTGGGTAGGGAATATGACTAAGTCATCTAGGTGCAGAGATAAGCAACATAAATCGTGTAAAAACACGTCAGGACAGAGGCCTTATCTACACCTTCTTGTCATACCTTCCTTTCAATCTTTTCCTGTTGTATTCTTTTCACCTGTTTTCTTTTGGCATTGAACATTTTTTCCTCCTTTTTAAAGAGGGGGTGGGCTTCACTATCTCTTCATGAAATCAAACAGAAAGAAGATAAACACGACCATCACTAAATCTCCCATTCCCAAAAGACACCACATCCAGACAAGGGATTCTTCTATCATGAAGCGCTTTGAGGTATCTTGAATGCTGGCACCCAAACCAAACAGGGTAGAAGCCCACAACAAGACAAACGTGTGCTAAATGGCTCAGCCGTGGTTGCTGAAATATTTGCAGCAACTAACAGATTAACCTGTCATACAGCAGCCTGACAAACCCAGAGCTGGCAGATGAAGAGATGCAAATAGGCCCTAAAAATGTCTGCAAATTCTAACTGAAGAAAAGACTGCCTTATTTGTGTCTTATATGTGCCTATGAAAAATGAGTATTTTTAAGCATTATATTTTTATGAACAAACATTATTTTTCTTTATGAAGACTAAAGATTGAGAAAACAACCTACATGGTGACATAAAGTTTATATTTAAATGCTTCATATACGAATATGTGCTCATCTCTCCTATACTTCTCTTCTGGAGATCATAATACTAAATTTTCAGATCCCACTAATCATGATTGCACTTACCAAAACTGAAGTGAGGATCTTATGAATTAAGAGGATGCTGAGAGCTAACTGGAGAAGAGGTCATTTAACAAATACTCTGAGGATTATCCATGGCCCAATTTTAAGGTTAGTGACACAGTGGATTCAAAGATATATGAAACATATTCTAAGACCTCAGAGAACATGCAATGTTAAGAAAATAGTAAATAAAAACTAGTAGATATAAAGTAGGATAAAATAAATGTCATAAAAGTTTGTTGGCCAGGTACCATTTCAAGGCAATTGAAAGTCTCAAGTCCACTAAAAGAATGAGAGAAATATTTCGATATCTTGAGAGATGATTATTTTTTCTTGCATTCTACATGTCCTACTCTGTAAAAGCTACCTACCCCCATAATTTAAACACCAGACCTCACACTGATGACCCATGGGGCTCCATCTACAAACCCAGGTGTACTTCCTGGACCAAGATCTTCACCTCCGACTATTGACTAGGCATCTCCCTGTTAATGTACCCAAGACACATCATACTCAATATGTTCAAAAACTCTCTGTTTCCTCAGCTCTAACCCTTTCTCTTGTGTTTCTATTTCAGTAAATATTCAAATATTCTCCCATATTCTCAGGTTTAAGGTCTTGGGCTTCTCCCCTGTCTCACTCCATCCTTGAACCAATTTGATTTCTCTTTATTTAGTGTGGTGTCTTAAGTCCTAAACTAATGAAACAGCCTAAGATATTCTTACCTCCATTGTTTATATGCATTTATATTTCCAATAAAGTGTTGCATGGGTTACCTTCCTTCATATTGTTTATCTTGCTTAAAAAGTACTAACACCCTCCATCCCTTATGTACAGAATATTGACCAAAACTCCTTAGTTAAATTGTAAGTTTGGCTCTTGTCTGTATCTCTAGCCATTTCCTCTTCCCTTCCACCGTATTAGCCACACTGGAAGCCCCATTACACACTCCCACCTTTGTATGCTGACCCCACTCTGCCTGGGATGCCCTCTTCCCTGTGATGTCACTCGCTGAAGTTCTACTCATTCTTCAAGTGTCACTTCCTCAAGAGCTCCCCCTAACAGAGCTGCACCCCCGCTCCTCCCATCACTGTGCCTCTGACCCTTCTTTCCTTCTCTTCATAACACATCACACATTACATGGCTCTTTATTTGTTTAGTGCCTGTGTCCCAAATGTAAAAAAAAACTTTGAAAGATAAAGCCGGACACATTTGTGTGCTCAATAATATCTGAAGAATTAATTGGATTTAATACTTCAGATACCGTTGAATCTCATCTTTTCCTCTAGAGAAACAGCTTTGCCATCTTAGAGCAAGATCACAGTCTACTTTGCATTATCTGTGTGTTCGGGGGGATGAGGAGGTGTGCATATCAACCTAACTAGACTGAAGGGACTGTGTTTTACTCATATTTTTATCTCTTTTAGCACAGAATGAACACCCAATGAATGTATAGTGACTTGAACTCAATTCTTTGTGACTCCAAACAATTAAAGCCTTCTCCAATTTATTGGAATAGATTATCTTCAGTATGGTACTATAGGAGAAAATGAGAATAATGAAAACCAAATAATTTTCATTTTGAGCATTTAGTAATCTTAGAGAGAAATTCTTGACCAAGAAAAAACCTGGAATAGCTAGGATATTTCCTTATTTGGAAACACCACTTTTTTAGATTTAATGCTCTCTATATTTTATGTTATTTTCTTCTTACTACACTGGCTGAATCAGTTTTGGGTTTCCGATAAGCTCTTCTTCTGATCCTCCCACAGAGGCCACAGTGAATTTCAGAGTGATTTGAAATCTTGAGATGATACAAATGCTTTTATAAGGTTTCTTCAGGCTTTTAAGGAGCTAAAAGGAGACTTTTTTTCTTGGTTAGGTTATACTATGTTTTCAGGGTTAAGTTTTTCCTTTCATGTTGATGCTTTTATATTAGCATCATATATGATGCTTTATAATATAATATTATGTTATATTATTTTAGACCAAAACTTGCTTTTATTTTAAAGTCAAGTGTTCAGTTGGACTCTGTGTAACTGGTACATGATGCAAAATTGCAAAAAGTGGAGGGTAAGGATTACATGCAGCAGATCCCTTGGCCTGCTTTAAGAAGGCATAAGAGTTTTCAGTATAATGAATATTTATTTTTCAGATGACCAAAGATATTTTTTAATAGAATCATAAGGTTTGGATTCTACAATGACACAAATAACTTTATGTATAGGCATTTATTTATTTATTTATGCAGTCAACAGAAATTTATGAGCACCGACTCTACACAACGCACAATAGTCACAATGGTAGACTAAAATGTCATAAAACATGGTCTCGCTCCTCAGCAAAATTATATTCCCCTATCAAATGTGCTGGGGGGTTTTTTTACAGCAAGTGAGTTTCATATGGAACATCTTAATTTTCCTTTTTTTAAGGTTATGAACCAATGATGTTTTCAGAACTCTGATGCTACAGAGACCTAATATTCATAAAGAGGCCACTGCCTCCTAGGAGATGAGTGATTGTGACAGTCCCTCCCCTACTAAAATTCTGTGATTTGATGAATACTGAACACTCAAATAAAGATGAATAGGAAGACGATATTGCAAGTTTTTATGAAATTATATGAAGAAACAGTATTATTTGGAAATACCAGGCAAAAGTGAAATTTGTTTGTTATCTGACACCCTCATGAATATTGATGCTTTTAACTTTGTTTTGTGAAAACACGTTTCATGGTAAGCAGATTTTAAGATCCTGAGTACCTTAAGTGCTGCAAATCAAAGAGTTCAATACTCAGGATAAATTGCTTGTTGTTCAAACTGTCTAGACCAATTCTCAAACTTGCATTTATACAGAGAACTGAATTACCCTAGATCAAAAATCAATCCCATACTGTGTGAAAGTTATACCTCAATATTAAAAATATTCACTTAAGATAATATTTTTATAAAATTTTATTAAACCAACTGACAGTCAGTCAAACATCTATTAATTTTAATACTTAAACAATTGTATATTGCTGATATATATGAGGATTTTGAAAGAAATTGGGACAAAGCCCTTAACCTTAAATATAATTAATATTTTTCTGTATTTAAACACAACAGTTCTTTAAGGTATAAAGTACCTATATCTAAACCTCAAAGTACAGTCTGCAAGCACTGTCAGTAACCAAACATTTTCAGTGCAAAAGAAACCTGCCACTGTATACTTATCCCTGAGAGAATGAATACCTTTGGCAAACCTGTTGTTCCAGATGTGTAAAGAATATACAGTGGATGTTCTGAAAGAACAGGAACACAATCGTGTGACTGTGCTTTTGCCATCTCTTCATCCCAATCAAGGTCACGACCTGGAGCCATGGGAACTGTCTCCTAGAGAGCAAAAATAGAGAAATATGCACTGAACAAAGGAGATTAAATTCAAAGAACAATGTTAGTCTGAGCATCTGACTTAAAATGTAGGCTATCTCTATAGCACTAAATATCAGATTTATAAATATCTCAGATAAATGTTCATAAAAAAGTCCAACTGTTTGATGTTGGCTTCAACTGAACTGAAAAAAGAACATGTTATATTCAAATCCAGGGCTATCCTTAAGAAACTCAATGCTATGCAGTCATGTTTTCATGTCTTCATAAATGTACATATACCTTTAACTTTATAAACTGTCTATTTTTTGTAACCAATTTCTCTTATTTGGAATGATCATCTTTACAATCAAATGTCAACTAACCTATTAAAATGTCTCTTTGTACAGGGGCCTTTTAGGAATAATAATGTGGCCATCTTTCCAAATAAGAGAATATTAAATCATTTTCAGGGGTGAAGGAGAAATCTACTTTTGCTTTTTCAAGAAAAAAAATCAGTCTTGAAAATTAACGAGAGTATGTTACATATCTAAAATGGTATCCAAGTCTTCCTCCATCAGGGGTGTCCAAACTTTTGGCGTCTCTTGGGCAACACTGGAAGAAAAGTTGTCCTGGGCCACATATTAAATACACAAACTCTAACAAAAACTGAAGGGCAAAAAAAAAAGTTTTAAGTAAATTTATGATTTTATGTTGAGCTGCACTGATAGCCACCCTGGGCCACATGCAGCCCCCGGGGTGGGGGTTGGACACCTCTGAAAGGTCATTGATTAACATAGTAGAAATGTTTGTTTTCTTTTTGTTCCTAAAACCAAGGTCTGTGTTATAAACTTTGTGATAATAGAGCCATGAGTTAGACAGACACACCTTAAAAGAAGGTAGACAGACGTCTTTACAACCTGTGCTAGTGAAATAGGCCAGATAAGTGAAGAGTAAGTGGCTTACGGAAGAATCGCTCTAATGGAGAGTTACATCTATTTAAGTAAAGGCTCAGTGTATGTATAGTTATTTTCTGAAATGATAACTAAGCTCAAGATGACACATCAAAAAGCTTACAGTTGGTGAACCTGTTAGTACAGACATAAGGCTAGATTACATATTCCTCAAGGAATGTTAGTAAGATCTACCACCTACAGAGTATAGGTAACCATTCATTCATCAAAGTGAAGCTAAGCCCAGAGACTCTGAGACATTTAGAAATGCCAGGCTACTTCCATTTTTCAGGCTCCTTAATGTATTGGCCAGTGTTATAAAAAATGGTCATATTTTTAAGTGCATGCATTTGCAAATTATCACTTCAATATAACATCACAAATGTAATGCCTGTATGAATAAACACATTAATAGATAACAATCTGAATTTACTTTCATAAAGGTGAAGTTTCAGGCATCCCCAGCCTCACTTTGATAAGCCCTAGCTATGCCACTGAGACAAATGAAAATAATTACTGTGAACAAATTGTATATTTTCTTTTGTTTTATGCATTTATTAAAATTTTATGAAATTATAACTAATTTCAAATTAGCAAGCCTGTGACATCAATATTACAGACCTATAAAAAATCATCACACTGCACAATTAAAAATGTCAACTAAGTCATCACAAAAACAATTATAGATCAAATGAAATGAGGACTTGGATAAATGGTTGTTCTTCAGATTAAGAAATACAGGCATGAGTAAAGAAGATTTTATGAAAGGAAGAAAGAGAAAAATTCAATATTAGTTTTTACATATATACATTTACTTCTATAGATAAGTCCTCCCTAGTTGTTGCTCTCAAAAGGCAGTAATTGGGACAGCATTAGAGGTGGCTGATATGCGTTCCTTTGATTTGTCATTGCTTCCCTGAGTCTTAGGAGTGCCTGCCAGGTTTTTACTGGCAAAAATGCAAATCTGGTTAATGAAAGACTCCACTAAGCTTCAATTTATTTTTCTCTAAAGTGAAAGCAAAGCCAGTCCGCTGTACTTAATTACTGCCTGAACAGCAGTACTAAATATGAAGGACAGGAGACATCCAAAGCCCTCATCTAAAATAAAATAAGCCAAAATAGAAGGAAGAATGTTAAGAAAAAGGGAGAGGGAGAGAAAGTGAGCCAGTTATGTGTGGGAGGGGGAGAAGGAGAGTGAATCTCTACCTATTAAGTGGAAAGAGAAGAGATTTGCAAAAATGCAAATAGGAAACTTTCATATCCATAGCCAGTGTGCTATAAAGAAATGTATTGGTTAAAAGGCATTTAACTGGAGTTCAAATCTTGACTCCACCAGTTACTAAGTGTGACTCCGGGCTATGATTTCACCATGACTCAATTTCTTTATCCACAAATGGGGCCAATAATAACATTTACTTTATGGGTTTATGAGAATTAAATAAGAAGTATTTGAAATTACTTAGCATCAGGCCTGGCATAAGTTCTTTATAAATTCTACATGAATTCATATATGTGTGAATAGCACACACAGAGCCACAAAATCACTTGTGTGTGTGCATGTTCCTACCCTTCTCTAACCTTTTGTCACCAAAGCCTTCCTTATTGCTGACTTTGCATTCCTTGATTTAATAGCAACAAACCTTTTTAAAAAACATGCTTGAGGTCATCTGAAAGAAACTTAAAATTCTTCTTTGAGACAGTAAGAATATTAAAATCACTGAGTGCAGCAGTTCATGAACCACAGTCTACTAAAACTTTAGATGGGAATTTAATGTGGTAATGGGAATTGCTAGGTGGTAATCAAAATGACATAGTTCTAATGGTCTCTATTCTTATATCCTGTCATTTAGGCATTTTCTGAAGATAAGCTCTCAAGAGTTCCACAAAATTATACATGATTATTTCCACTCTTGTAATTTTTCTTCCGTAAAAATTTTTAATCAGCAAGAAACCCAAGTTGGCCCTACTATAAAAATACCTGGATACTTGCTGGAAGGCAGAAAGAAGGTGACCATCGGGTCCTATTTTTTAAGTAAAGCAACTGTAAAACATATTTATTAATATATTACACTGCTTTTTCTTCCTTCATGGATCACGGAATACTATATCTCTTTACAGTATTCAAATTTTGTTTTCCCGAACATAGTTTTTACTTCTGAACGAAATACCTTTATTAATGTTTTCAAAAGATAAGTTACATACAAATTCATCACACTTTTCCATAAGACAGGACAGTTTAGGGATTAAACAGGCGGTCAAAGTATATGAATTCAGATCACGACTCGGACACTAATCAGCCAGGCAAGCTTTCGCCCTGTTCATTAGATTAATGCTATCACCCACAGCACAGAGTTATCAGAAAGGTTTTTAAAATGAATCACTAGTACAGTGTCTTAAAAATCGTATGGTAGGCAGTAAGTATTTGCCAGTACTATCATTATTGTTATAATTTAAATTAATAAATGACATCACAATAGACTATACAAAGAATCAATTCACTGATATTATGGCTAGTTTTTTAATTGCTTTTTTACTCCTCACCTGAGGATATATTTACTGATTTTAGAGACAGAGAGAGAGAAACATTGGTCAGTTGCCTCCAACACAGGCCCCCACCAGGCTCAGACCGACAACCTAGGCATGTGTCCTGACGGGAAGCAATGTCCCAACCAGCTGAGCCACCCGGCCCACGCTGGGTTTCAATCTTTTTATTTTAAGCTAATTTTTTCATAAAGAGAAAATATCATTCATATCCAATATCATTTTTTTGCCAAAAATAGTGACATTCAGGAAGTATATTTAGTGGTTCCTAAATCAAAGGTGTATGTTAAATGGTCAAAACCAGAATCACCCTTTGCCCACCACTGCAAGCAAGAACCAAATTCAGTATTCAGATTACCATATTTGGACGATTGTAAATGAGAATTTTATCTGGTTTGTGTTGTCCTATTCTCAGTGCTTCTTCTAGAAGTGGTATGTATTCCACCTTCCTTCCAGGTTCAATGCCAAATGATGCTGTCACAACCACCTTGGGCTACAATAAAAAAAAAATTGAGAAAATTTAGCAATCCTAATTAAGGCAATCACAGTATTTCAGGTGCAGATAAGCACTTCAACATTTCTAAAGAAATGTCTGAATAGTCCTGTTCTCCATTGAATAAATGACCTGAAAACCAATTGCCCTTTTTAACTGTTATAAACCTAACCATTTCCACATAAACCTCACTTACCTGTTCAAAATTACATGTCAACATGCTTCTGGCTAATAAGTGTGAGCTGCCGAAAAATACTTTCCAAAGAAGGAAGCCACTAGTTTTGCCATGAACCAGTAAAATGCAAGCTGGGGGCCCCTCACTTGCAGATGCCCCGGAACAGCTGGCTGCTGCTGAGGCTGGAGCCGCTCCTTCGTGCAGGGCAGTGGGGGCGGGAGGCTACGCGGCAGGCCAGTTGTTCTCAGGAAGCATTTTTAAGCTATTTTATTATGTGAACATCTCTGCTTAAATGCCTACAGGCCACAGAAAGGAGAAACCTGAATCCCTGATGATTCCTTTATGATTCTTTTTTTTGTTCTAAAGATATATTCATTTCCACCAAATATTTGTTATTCTGCCATATATTTTTGAAAAGGGCACCCAAATGATTCAAGTTTTAAGCCCCACAAAGCCTGAATCTGCCTCTGTCATTAAGACATACTTGGCATTTTTCTTTATCTGACATCTTGTATTCAAGATGGACACAGACGTAGCGAAAAGACATCCTGGAAAGGAGCCAAAGAAGTTGGGGTTAATCTCCTTTCCTCAGGATACTCCCGGCAAGCCTCAGAGGCCCGACCATAGTCAGTGTTCCTCATCCCACCGCTGCACAGGAAGCTCTCCAATGCCAAATTCAGATCCCATTCACCTCTGTGTCTCTTATTCCTGGTATAATGCTTGCCAGATCTTAAGCTCTCAATAAATATTTGTGGAGCTGAACCAAAACTTTTGTTAATTTGCAGTAACGAACATGTCATTACTCTCTTAAGTACACTATTTCTTCACCAAGAAATCCAAAGCAAAGGAAACACAATAAATTATTCAGGAGAGAAATAGTCAATCTGAGATAGTGCATCTATTCCTGAATTCTGATTTCTGGTTACAATACATTTCATCTAGGGAAGGTTCATATTATGCCAAATATATGCATATATAGTACTTCCTGCTTTCTGAATATCATTTAATATTCATGGACCTGAGGTTCAGTGCAGTTACAAAGCTTGCCCAAGGTTACAAGTGGCAGAATGGGAAAAAGGCCCATTCTGTCTGACTATAGCAACTTTCTCTTTCTGCTCTATCAAGCTGCCGTTTAAAAGGAAAGAAAAAAAATAAGGCTTATTTCCTTTTATTATATTTTTAAAGGTCACATATTTGAATATAATTCATATTTTAATATCTGTAATACCTACAAAAATAATTCTAAGTAGCATTCCATAAGACTAGAATTCTGAACAAATAGAAGTTACACATCAAATGAAGAACATATAGAATATATCAAAACTTCAATAATTTAATAAAGTCAAAATTAGACTCTTCCTTTACAAACATAGTTTCTTTCCACATTTCTATTAGCCTTTTATTGGAGGTTTTGAGGCAGGATAGGAAGAAGCTAGGAAAATGTCTTGGCAAGTAGAATCGGGAAACTGACACAAATACCTGAACAAACTGGCCAAGTAATTTGCAGCCAGATAATAAACTGTAAGGTTGCACACATTCCAGACCACGCTGAGACAGTCTTGCCATGGTCCCAGTCCTTCTTTGGTGACTTTCTTTGAATGTGAAACTAACCAGAAAATGACCTATGCACTCACTTTGATGCATCAGCATAATAAAGAAGACACCTGAAAAACTGATGAATATTCTATTGAGATCCTCTCCTTAGAAATCCCTTGAACTTCCCACCTTTAGAAAACAGATAACAACTCTTAGGATAAAGGACCCAGTGTGTGCTCTCTCTTAAGCTGCCCACAACTACCTTCTTCAGGTGCCTATCTTTCCTGTCTTTTCCCTAATCTCCAAGGGTCCTCCTGAGACTTGCAGCCAGGGGAGCAACAGGCAGGGGTAGCTCGTCCAGGGCTAACCCATCACACCCATCTCCAACAGCCCTTCTTTTGCCTCTGTAACTTCCCTGAGACTGTGTAAATAGAGATGTATAGCAGAGATATTTGTGTACAATATCCAGCAGTCCAGCGGGCTCATTTCTTCCGCCTCTGTGACTTTCTTTCTAAAAGGCCAAGGCAGCTCTCTTAACAGCCTGCTCGAATTGTCTCTTTGAGTACAAGGAAGGACCCAAAAAGACCCTGGAATTTATTTATAAAAAATTGTGTATTTATTATTCCATGTTTAAACTTCAGCCATCTTCAAAGTACTCTCTATTTGATGCAATACCCTATTGAGACATTTTTATCCACTGCTCAAAACAGTTTTTTAACTCATCCACTTTGATGTCTTTTAGAGCCTCTGCCATTTTTTGTTTCACTTCTTCCACAGGGGCAAAACATTTCCCTTTGTGAACTTTTTTCATCCAGGGAAACAAAACAAAAAAAATCACTTGGGGTGAGATCAGGTGAATAGGAAGGGTGAATAGAGAACTGGGGTCATGCCATTTTTGGTCAAAAATTGCTGAAAATTCAGCACGGTGTGGGCAGGTGTGCACATAAATCACCCATCATGAAATGGGCAAATGCACTTAGTCTTCAAAAAAATTCACTGAAGCCAAACACAGGCTCTCACAACAATGCCAGCTGGTACACTAATACAGATAGGTTCCTAGAACACTCACTTAGCAGGGGAAGCCTCTACTGAAAGGGGCCTGCCTTCCAGATGATAATTCAGGTGTTTCCTGGGGTTCCCACCTCATATACTTTGGCTTTGTGTGCTAAATAAACTCCCTCTTGCACTAGAGTTTGTTGGCCCTGAATTCCTTCTTTGCCAAACTCATGAACGGAGAGTTGACATTGCTGGTAACAGTTTTATTTGGTCTTGATTGACTTGTTATAATTTATTCTTCCCATTTTCTGTTAAAATGAAACTTTTTCTTCAACCTGTTTATTTGAAAATCATAACATCAAAATCATCTCTGATTTCAACTATTAATTGTACACAAATATCTCTGATATACATCTCTATTTCCATTTGCTTGCCTTTAATTTGACATGATTAATGGTATTGCCCATAAGATAATGTGTTTATTGACTAAGTTTCTTAAAAAGGGGTGTGGGTGTGTGTTATAGATGAAAACTTCTCCACTGGTACAGCATAAGTTTTATACTTTTTTTTATATATCTTAATTTCCTCATATCATATACAATTTTACAAGAAGGAAATAATACATCTCATACCTTTATCCAAATGGTGTTTTGATTTCTATAGGTAAAAAACTGGAGTTGATAACTTCCTCAGAGAAGTCCCCAACTGCCTGCTGAGTCACAGGTCAATGACTGACTGATATTTCCCCCTAGACTTCCCTTCACAAGCCCTAACTCAACATGTTTAAAAAGAAAGAGGGAAAAAAACAAATCCAAGCAGTTAGTCTACAAACCAGCTTCTACTCATAGTTCTAGTATGTGATCTATTCCAAATGAAGTCAGATATGCAAACTTTATGTTATGCCTAGCACTCAGGGGACCTTCAATATATATTCCCTTCATTGTTAAGAATGTCTCATCTTGTGCTTGTAAAATTCTAAAGGTCAGTTATTTCTTACTCTTATAACAACCTTCCTTCCTTCATCTTCCTACTACTATTACTCTCCTGCACATCACCTATTGCTTCACAAACAGGCCACCTGCCAAAGTTTTTATTCCAGCCTCTAGTTCTGTCCCACTGACATCATATGAAAAGACTTGCCTCCTCTTAACATTGCTTAAAACATGAAACTCATCTGCTCAAAAACTGACTGGCCAAGGTCTGTAGAATCCAGTTCAGACTAAATTGCCTTTGCAAGCTCATCTTCTGTTCCTCTTCAGTCACATCAGTCTCGTCACTGAACTCCAAATGAATTTTACCCATTCCTACCTCTAAGGCTAGACTTAACATTATTTTTCTCTCCTTTGGGGTCCCATGACGTCATTCTCTTCAACTAGCTGAATTTTAGCCAAGACCTAACTCAAATCTCATGTCCCTTGGGAAGTTTGCTTTGGCCGCTCCACTAAAAGAAATCTCTCCTTCCTCTAAACCAGGGGTGGGCACACTGGTTGAGAGCCATACCCTGCCCACAGTGTGTTTCTGTATGGTTTTATTGGGACACCTCCATGACCTTTGTTTATGTAGCATCTAAGGATGCTTTTGTGCTACAACAGCACAGCTGAGTAGTTGCAACAGAAACCATGTAACCCACAATGCCTAAAATATGTATTACCTGTTAATATACAGAAAAAAGTGTGCTGACCCCTGCTCTGAATTTGTAAAATAATAGTAGCTAACCCTTTTTTTTCTAATGAGCCCTCCATGTCAGGCACTGTGTTGTGTTTTAAATTCAACATCTCAATATTAACCATATCAAGTTTGTTATTTTACCACCCTATTTAAACATGCAACCCCACTCCCTGCTGACACCCCCTCTTAACCTCTGCTCTCCTACCATTCCTGAAAGGATGTTGATTATAAAACTAACTATGTGTCCCAACCATTTCATCAGTTATCATTTACTGTCCTGTACTAAGGATGGTACCAGGCACATAGTGGGTACTTAATAAATACATATTGAATAAATTACTTATTAGTTATTTTGCTGGTGTTATACACCCAAATATATGGCAAACTAGTTTATATGTTATATTCCTCACATAGCACTCAAAGACGTCTTTCACATAGCACTCAAAAATCAATTTTTGGTTAATAGATATACGTCAAATAAAAAGTAAACATTAAGTATCCTGTTTGAAAGGAGGGTCTAATAAGTACAAATCACTCTTTGATTATTCATCTGCAGATATGGCTGTATTATATAGTTACTGCTTGATTTCTCCAAAGAGAGCCTTACCTTTGCATGATCAATGCGGCTACTTAGTTCTTTGGATGCAAATCCCCCAAATATGAGACTGTGGATGGCTCCTATCCTTGCACATGCCAGCATGGTGTATATCGCCTGCGGGATCATGGGCATGTAGATAACCACAGTGTCACCTTTCTTGACACCATGCTTGACCAAAACACCAGCCAGCTTAGAGACCTGTAACAAAATCATTAGATCAGCAAAATGTTTTCTGTGTTATTTCACAGAAAAGTTAAGTCAGTAATGCAAGCAGATGATAACCCTCTTGGTAACGAATTAAAGAAGCCTGAGTAACACTTATTTGATGATGATGATGATGATGACAAAAATGATTAAGATTTAGATAGTGACAATAACAACAGACATTTATCTGTATTTTAACAATTGATTACAAACCAATGTTCTATTATTATACCATTTAAACTTCATGGCTTAAATTTGCTATCTTACTTATTTAACAACATGTTTACTGAGCAACTATTACATGCCATATGTTGTGTTTAGAGCTGGTAACACAACATTGAAAAACAAAGAAAGACATGTCCCTATGGAGCTTTTATTCTAAAGGGGGAATCTGTCACATGGACAAAAAAATAATTATAGATTTGGATATATGTTGGGTTAATCAATGAAGAAAACATGTGTTATGAAAGAAAACATGTTATACACTTATAAGGTAAAAACACAGAGTCTATTATTATTATTATTATTATTATTTTAAAGACTCTGAGATAATGAACAGCTAACCAGAGGTGAGAAAGCTAGAAACTGGTGATATCATCACAACTCTTTTGAGTTTGTGCTTTTTGCCCTTTCTACTGCCTTAAACCAATATTTTTTTTCTTTATAGTTTTCTATACTAATTATTGTATCTATACAAAGTGACCATCCTCTCTTTACTTTTAACGTATGTTTTGGAGATGAAACATGCAAATATCTACATTTCCTTAACGTGTGTTTTCAGTTGCTAGTAATAAAGACAAAATAGATCATAAGCCCACACATGATATAATTTATTCGAGAAACCTTCTTTCCACAGACAAGTATAACAAGCTGTGGGAGGTATGACCAGACCTAAGTGAATAAGAAATTCAACCTTCGTTCATTTTGGTGTGGCTCAGTTGGTTGGGTATTGTCCTGCAAAATGAAAAGTCGCCAGTTCAGTTCCTAGTCAGGGCATATGCCGGGGCTCTGGGTTTGGTCCCAGATTGGCGTGCATGTGAGAGGCAACTGATCGATGTTTCTCTCTCATATCGATGTTCCTGTCATCCCTTTTTTTCTCCCTCTCTTCCCCTCTAAAAATAAATAAGTAAAATCTTTAAAAATACATATAGAGAAAGAGAGTACCTGTATATGCCAGACACTGTTTCCTGAAACATCAGTAAACAAAATAAGACAAAGGTCTCTATCCTTAGAGTGTTTGTTTTAGCAGAGGAAATACTTAAACACAGTAAGTAAGTAATACATTATGATTAAGATAATCAGTGCTATTGAGTAGGGCAAAATAGAAGGGATTGGAAGTACAAGGAACGTAATTGTCAATGGGATGAATAGGATTGACTTCACTAAGTAAGTGACATTTTAGCAAAGACATATAGCAGTTGAAGAATAAGTAGATACCTGTGAGTCTACTATTTCCGGCAGAGAGAACCCCAGTACAAAGGTGTAAGGGATATCACATGCGATGTAAAAAGAGAACAGCGGGGAAACTAGGGGATATGAAACAGAAAAACAAAACTAGTAAAAAGTTGTCATAGGTCAGGTCAGAGAGCTAAAGGGCATGTCAGGACCCGGTGGACAACTGGAAGGACTATGCCTTGACTTTAAATGACTGAGAAAATGAACAGAGAAGGCCTGAGAGAAGAAATTGGGCCACACAGCTATTTGTGGTTCCTTTCATTTCACTGTCTCTCCTATTTCGAACAAGCTTAAAGGACCTGAATCCTGACCATTCTTATTACTTGTTCTTTTTATTCACTTCCTCTGTGCAGGTGGGGAAAGATGTGGTCAAGGTTAAGAACCTTGGTGAAAGTAAGTAACAACTATCAGTAGTTTATTCTCCTTTATATTGCAAACTATAACTTAGTGCTTTTTAAGAACTCAAAACTGCACCACAGAAAGTTACAAGAAGAATACATCAAAGTACTATAAATTATAGACTTAAATTCTGTATGGAGCTCAGAACCAAGATAAACATGGGAGAGTTTTATGCAAACATCTCAGTGTGCCATCTCTGCAGAAAGTGGCTGTGCTCTGTGATCCCATTACTGGGTACCCCACTTAAGATACTGCTGTGGGAGCAATCAAAAAGAGCTCGTCCTATTTGCAGCTACAGCCTTAGCATCTTGGTAGTGTCTGTTGGTAAATTTAAAATATCTTCAACAGGACCCAAGTTAGTAATAATTCAGCAACTTTATATTCCAGTCCTCCTTCACAAGGTTGCTGAAATATGGCAGAAACTGTTTCTGCCCTCTGAAAGAAATAAAAATGATAAATTCAAGATCTTTTTTGAAAGATATCAAAATGACCAAATGTCACTCCAAAATGTATTTAAGGTAGGGTCATATCAGATCTTTATAAAATGAGCCAATATATTGATACTGGACTATTTCATATACAAATCCAGATTTCCAGTTTCTCTTGAAAAATTGTCTACCAAAAGACAGTGTCTACCAACACTGGGTTTGTATTCTTGCATGACAATAATCAGTTAAATCTGGTGTTCAGCTGCTCAGTTTGCAATACAACTTTCCATTCCCTGAGACTATTTATCACACAGCTTGCATTTTACTTTCCATTCGGAATTTAAAATAATTCCTCTATATCCTGTTTATGTTATGTAATTACAGCATAGCTCCATAACCACAGAATGAGATATATGCCAATAATTGATTTTTCTCCCACCCACCTCCTCCATTTATATTATCTGCTAGGCTCCTGTAGGCATCTGAGTTACTAACCATTGCCCTGAAGGCAACCTTGTCAAATTAGGCTGCACCAGATCTACATAACCACTAGATGGCGGGCATTTGGACTAGCTAACTTGCTTCTTGCAGCTACTCCTCAAGGTTTTGATACTTTGCTAACTACAGATGGCCTAAAGACAGGAGTTTTATATGATCAATAGAGAAAATTTATTTTGTAGTACTTTTTAGGACTAAATGTCACTCCAGTAAAATTATCCATTGTAACTTTAAAATTAAAATATGTATGTATGTGCATGTATGAAAATGTATGGGAAAATAATGTTTCCAATGAGACTTCTAATAAATAGACTTTATAAAAAACAAAGCATTAGCTCAGAGCAAGAAAAAATAAATGGAGAATGATTTAACATTAAAATATTTAATAACGTTTCTTTAAATATATTCCTTAATAATATTAAATCTACAGTTGGTTAATGAGACCCCAGAGCAGAACACTTAATAGTCTTGCCTCAGATGCAAATAAAATCAGTTTGAAGATAAGTGGAGGCAACAATGAGTGTTAGGATGAGAAATCAGGAAATCCAGTCACCTAAGAGTTCATAGTAACTCAAATAAAATACTATGAAATTTCAACACAAAGGGCAATTTGATGATTGCTCTTTAAGAGTGTACCTTATTTTTACTGGATTTCAGATGAAAAATTATCAAAAGAAAATAGATATTATTTTTATCCAATAGTGTGTGTGTATATATATATTTATATATTTATCTTACCATCGATGTCTCAGTGTGGAGTTATTATTTCCATTATTTTCCAAAGGTAAACTATCTTAACACATATCTTGCACATTCTATTGTTTTTCAACTGAAGCAGTTAAATCACCTGCAATTCACCCAATTCATATTAACCTTTGCACCTTCTTAAAATTGTGTTTTAATTTATCAACAACTTAATAGTTTTCTTTTTGGCACATGCCACTAAATTTGGTTTTTGTTCTGACATCAAAGACAATACAGATGCCAGGCAGTGAGGGTCAGGCCACACTGCTCTGCTAGAGCGTGAGTAGCTGAGATGTGAAGGCAGCTGGGAGAAACAGGACAAATGTACATACTCATTTAGACAGCATCATCTGCTCCTCTCTCTAAAGACACATTAAGTATCCTGTCATTGACCCAATTTTTTGTATAGTATCTGAAGTCAAGTCTGCAGATGTAAAAATAAGAAACCTGTGGTCCTTCAAAGAAATTCGGGATCCACACACTAAACCTGACAAAAACCAAATCACGGTGGGGAGTGATTTCCTAGGCCGGTATCTTTCCGGAAAACGGTCAGCCTTTACCTTCGCTGAGCCTCTCTGTGGACTTTTTGCATCTACAATAACATTCCTTTGAAATGTCAGAGTAATTCTCTTTTTCCTGACCCCTCAGGGCACAATCTCCCACCAGAGCAGGAGACCACAAATCCCCTTATTATTATATTGTTCCCCACACACATTTTCTCTGTGCTGTAAATGTTCATTGTTAATGATTCTATACCCACCAACATAAAAGAAGTATGTTTCTCTTCATTTTACTTTTTATCCAATCTCAGAGATTTCCCCAGTTTGCTTTCTCCCACCTCCCTAATATTCCACCAACGAATTTCATGTAACCCCCTACGTCTTCTCCTTTGATTCTGATGTATAAAATAAGATGCGAAACTGCCATTGTCCAGAGGGTTTTCTCAATCCATTGCAATCTTTCTTCGTGGCAATTGTCATCAGTATGACTCAAATGAACTCATAAAAATTCTTACATGTCTAGACGTTTCTTACATTGACAATAGCATACATAAATTGCAATGGTAAAATAAGAAAAATGCAGAAAGATACATTTTACATGTACTGTAAAATGGTACATGCTTATATTTGGTTTAGAAACAAAGTAAAACTTTAAAATTTAGAATTATAAAGTATAAATAATAAAAAAGATTTCAATAATTTATTTTTTAATTTATTCTTTTGGGAAAGTCTTCATTCTAAAGCAGTCTGTGGGTTAGTTAGTATAATTTTATGACCAAATGCCCATAATACAAATAAAAACATTAGTTGAAACTGACCAAATTCTATGTTCTGCAGAATATATTAGCACTTGTTTCAGAAACAGCAAATGTGTCCATTCAGAGAAAATCCTGTTTATGTGACAAAGTCAGGGTTGGTGTCCAAATTATAGTAAACAGACAACTGTTATGGGCAACCTCAGTGCCATGTC